AGTATAGAAGCCTTCGATATCTGTTGCTAGATTTATTTCTACTTATTTTATGTTCTATATTACCAATGTGAATGGTGTTTTCTGAATTTTCATTTTTTAAATTCTTTGTTGCTAGGATATAGAATTACAATTTATTTTATATAATGACTTTGTATACTATGGTCTTGTAAAATTTACTTATTACTCCTAGTGGAGTATTTGTGTGTATAGATTCTTAATAGTTTTGTACATACAAGTGATCTGCTAAGCACACAACAGTGTTGTCTCTTCTTTTCTAATCTTTTTGTTCTTCATCTCTTTGAGTTATGGCGCATTGGCCAAGATTTCCAGTATAAATGTTGAATAGAAATGGCGAGAGTAAATATCCTTGGCTTGTTCCCAATCTTAAGGGAAAAACTGTCAATATTTCACCATTAAGTATGTTAGCTGTGTTTTTTCATAAGTATACATTATCAGGTTGAACAAATTCCCTTTATTCCCAGTTTGGTGAGAGTTTCTTTTTTTATTTTTAACTTTAAAAACTAAATTTAGTGGAGTAACACTGATTGATAATAACATTGTATGTTTCAGGTATACATCTATATAATATGACATCTGTATTCTCTATTGTGTGCTTACTACTCGAAGTTTAGTCTCCACCTATTTGCATGTATTTTACCTTCTTTACCTTTTTCGTCCTCCCTGCAATTCTCCTCCCCTATTGTAACCATCATTCTGTTGTCTCTAACTATAAGCTTGTTTTGTTTGTTCGTTTGTTGTTTTTTTTGTTTGTTTTATATTCCACAAAAGAATAAAATTATACAGTACTGAGTTTTTTTTCCATCTGACTTATTTCACTTAGCATAATACTCTCACGATCCATCCATTATATGACAAATTGCAGTATTTTATCTTTTTTATGGTTGAGTAGTAGTCCATCATATGTATGGACCACATCTTCTTTATCCAATCATCCATGGAAGGAATTATGTTGTTTCCATGTCTTGGATATTCAACAAACATTTTTTTAAGTTAAAACTTTTATTGTGAGATAATTATAGATTCACATAGATTTTTAAGAAATGGTACCAGAGTGATACCATCTACTCTTTACCTAGTTTCCTCCAATGACAAATATAACAAAACCATAGTACAATATCAATGCCAGGATATTGGCATTGATACAGTCAAGATACAGAATATTTTTATCACCTAAGAGATCCCTCATGTTGCCCTTGTATAGCACACACACACTTCCCTCTGTTCCACCCCTTCTTAAACCCTAGAAACTACTAATCTGTTTTCTATTTCCCTAATTTTGTTATTTTAAGAATATTATATTATAGATTAATGAAATATAATCTTTTGAGATTGCATTTTTTTTTTTTTTTTTTTTTTTTTTTTTCACACAAATTTTTTGGGGGCTTCATCCAGGTTGTTGTAGAATACCAATAATTTATGCCTTTTTTTATTGCTAACATTCCATGGTAGTTTTTTAATCATTCCACTCATTAAAGAACATTTGGATTGTTTCTGGATTTTGGCTATTAAGAATAAAAATTTGCATACGTATTTTTGAGTGAATATAAGTTTTTAGAGCGTTTCTATCATAAATGAGTTTGGATTTTGTCAAGTACTTTTCTGCATCTATTGAAATGATCACATAATTTTGCTCTCCATTATGTTAATATGGTGAATTACACTGACTTTTAATTGCGTAATAAGTATTTAAA